GCTTAACTTTATATTCTTTTTTTCCAGGTCTTTCCAATTAACTCCACCATCTTTAATTTTTTAGTTATTCAAAAAACAATTTTTAAATAGTTCAAAGAAATCTTATATAAAGTTGAAAAAAAAAATTAATAAGTTGCAATTTAAAACTAATTTATATTTATAAATGATATTTAATATCTAATTTTTTTTTTTTTTTTAACATCTTTGCTTCCAACAAGGCTGCAAGCAACCACTAATTAGTGTTGGAAGTTACTGGAAGAAAAAAAGATGAAGATTGTAGAGCAAGATAACGATTGACAGATGACTTAAAAGATTGCAAATTATATGAATCAGGAAAGCAAGATGAAAGAAGCGAATTCCAAAGAACTGATGTTCAAGGAAAAAAACTAGACGAGTAAGAGTTTTTGGAGCACTTAGGAACAGTAACAGAAATAGGATGAGACTTAATTAAATAACGAGTAACACAAGAATGAATTTTAGTAGATGACACAAGAGGCGGTAGCTTTTTAGAGCAGTGCCCATTATAGTATTTGTAGAAAAGAGAACGAGAAGCAACATTACGACGATGTGACAGAGGTTGAAGGTTGGCTGCAAGAGCAGGTCCAACTATGTTTACAATGCGTTTTTGCACCTTGTCTAAAAGAAAAAAGGCATCATTAGAAGATCCGCCCCAGATATGGCAACAGTTTTCTATACAAGGCCGGATTTGAGATTTGTAGAGATAGAGAATAGAATCCAGAGTAAGAAAGTGTTAAGCTCGATAAAGAGAAGCAACTTTAGCAGATGCTAATTTTGCAACGGATTTGATATAAGGTTTCCAAGAAAGATCAGAAGAGTTAATCCTAGAAGATGAAGGGTAGGAGACTCATCGAGTACATTACCGTTCATAAATATCTAAAATACCGTTAATAAATATAAAGGTCTAAGTTATTGCGATAACGATTGGCTGAAAAAAATTGATTTTTATCTGAAATAAAGTTTATCAGCCACTGTGAGCCCCATGCTGTAGCAGAAGTGCAATCCTTTTCAAGCTCAGATGCCCCCTGCAAGCAATCAGAGGGAGTTGGCTTCTTATCGTGACAAGAATAAATGGTAGTATCATCAGTGAACAATGCCACCTTAGATGTGAGAACATCTGGAAGATCGTTAATGTAAATTAAAAAAAGGAATAGGGCCAAGGATTGAACCTTGAGGAACCCCTGAGGTTACAGAATAAGAAGAAGAGTGCTATCCATCGAGGACAACTTTTATACTACAATTGGAAAGAAACGATTCAATAATCTTAAAGGTGTTTCCAGATACACCATAAGAAGAAAGCTTATGGAGAAGACCAGCATGCCAAACTTTATCAAACGCTTTAGAAATGTCAAGAGCGATGGCCTTAACTTCTCCACCTTTACCTAATGCACGATAAAACCTATCGGTTATTACTGATAGATAATCAGCTGTAGAACGAGAGGATCGAAATCCATATTGATGATCAGAAAGTAGGTTATGAGATTCGACATGAGAGATTAAGTGTTTGTTAATTAAAGATTCAAAAACTTTGCTTATGATAGGAAGAAGACTAATGGAAAGGTAGTTAGACGAATCGAATCGCTCTTTAGAATTTTTAAAAATTGGGATAACAGATGCTGCTTTCCAGCAGGCTGGAAAACAAGACTCTAATAAGCACTTGTTAAATAGTTTTGAAAGGATAGACGAAAGCACCGGAGAACGCTTCTGCAAGACTATAACATGTATGTTGTCTGGGCTGCAAGCTGTAGAAGAGTCTAAGCAGGAAATCGCTTTAGATACAGAAGCTGGAGTGATATGGATGTCGAGCAGTGGATCAACCTGTTTGACGGCTATATCAGGTAGAATGCAACTAGTGGAATCAAGAGATGATATTGATGAAAGGTTCTTGGCAAACAATTCAGCTTTGTCTTTAGGTGAGGTGACAAAGTCTTAACCATACAAAAGAGGTGGAATTACAGACTTGCCCTTATTATTGATACTATTAAAAATTCTCCAGAAGTCACGAGAGCCTAATTTTTGTGATGAAATACAAGTTTTCATGATCTGAGAATAGCAAGCTTTGGCGTTAGACAAAACCTTTTTACAATGGTTCCTAGCAGTAATAAACAAATGTCTGTTTTCTGGAGAATTGTTTTGCTGATAGATATGCAAGTAATGGTTTCGATTAGCAATTGCAGCAGCACAATGTGAGGAAAACCATGGAGAAGAGTGAGGCTTGACCTGGAATCGTCGAGAGGGAATAAAGGATTCCATGCCAGCCTGAATCCACGAAGTTATGTAAGAAGCACATTTGTCAACAGGAAGACGAAAGATTTCTACCCAGGAGCCATCACAAAGAAAATCACGGAAAGAGTCCCAGTCAGCTTTAAGGTAGTTGTAAGATGTACAATGATAGGGGGATTCTGATGGTAAAAAGAATGAGATAATAGTTTTAGAGAGACAAACCATGATCAGAAGCACCTTAGGGTGAGTGTGGAGAAACTGAGCACTGACTAGGATTAGAAACAAGACATAATTCGAGTAGAGAAGGTAAATGATTCGGGTTGTCTGGAAAGCGAGTTGGAAAGTTGACTATTTGAGTTAAAGATTGAGAAAGGCAAAAGTTTTGGGCCTTAATACCTGCGGAGTCACTGACACTAGAGTTAAGTCATTCAGTGTGATGAACATTAAAGTCACCGACAACAACAATATTGGCTGATGGATAAAGAATGAGGGCTCGGTTAATATAATCAGAAATAACATCAAGAAGAATGCAGTCTTGAGATGAAGGAGAGGGATATAGAACAAAGAGAAAGGTGAATGAGTGAAGTGATGCTAAATGAAAGCACATAAAAGAGTAGTCTGTGGATTCAAACCTGGGAAACTAGGTTTGAATCCACAGACTACTCTTTTATGTGCTTTCATTTAGCATCACTTCACTCATTCACCTTTCTCTTTGTTCTATATCCCTCTCCTTCATCTCAAAATGGGTGAATTCTTACAAATGTAAATGCCCAGGCCAAGCATGTGACTATTGGAGTCTTTACGGATTAAAGGAAGATAACCATCAACACTAAGATCACAAGGTGAGACAGCTGAACCTAAATTAGTCTCACAAAGAGCAAGTAGGTCTGGTGAACTTTGCAAGAGATAAGACTCAACAGAAGAAAAGTTACTTAGAAGACCATGAATATTGGTGAATGATAGGTTTAGCGAACTTGGTGATGACTGTGGTTTTTTGTGTTTTATAGTTTTTGTTACTTTATTCATTTTTAAATTTGTTAAAGAACTTGACTCGAAACATAGATACTACTCAATACACTGTTTTATAGGCCAAGCAATTACCTCATTTCCACTAATAAACCCTAAGCCGTAACAAAGGGCTCCAATGTGGCCTTAGCAATGCACACCAAAAGTACAAACAGGGACACCATCCATGCGCAACATGACACTGTTAGTACTCTGATATTTTTCAGCTGTTGATGGAATCAGCCTCTCTGAGAGCTACCACAGAGTTTGAGAAACCTGACTACCAGCCGGCCTCAGAACCATAAAACTAAGTTTTAGAGCTGTACCCTCATTTAGAGATAATATAATGAGTTGCCTAGTCATAAAAACAGAGACACAAGCAAAACCCATGCATCGAGTCAAGAAGATCCAGCGTTCAACATCCTAAACTGGAAACAATGTATTTAAAATATATCTGCGCCAGTCTAATAGATGGAGAAAGGATGTGAGGCTGGTCAACAGATAGAATCTGTTTACCCCTTAAATCTTTGCTTTGCCTTCTACAAGGCAGCAGCCGGATGCATTTAACATCTGCCTAAGATGAGTATTTTTATCGAGACACCATCTCTAGCCTTTACTCAACCAAGAGCCCAAAGGCAGGGGATGTTTTATGTCGAAGTTTGCATCTTCTAGCTTTTGCCTAAAAAGCCATATCCTACAAGGCAGCAGGACATGAAGCAGATACATATATATATATCAAATGTAAATCTAATATAATAATAATAACAGCAGTATTTAAAATGAGCTGTATTATAATTTATAACATTTTTTTCGCCGAATGTTTTTAGCTGTAAAACTTTAATATTATCAATACTATATTAAACAAAAAAGATATTTTCATTATAATTAATGTTCTTTGACAAGCTTATATTAAATGCATTTTATGCATAAAACTATCAAGGTGGATTTCCACTAACAGGCTATTTTCTGCAAAATAGAACAGAAAAGAAAACTATCCAATCATGAAACATAAATTTTTTATGCTACATGATTGAATTTCTTTTTTTTTTTTTGTTCCGCTGAAAATTTCCTGTAAGTGGAAATCTGCATTTTTGCCAAAAGTTGTGAAACAAAAATGGTGTAATGTTCACATAACACTTGACTACAGTTACTGCAGTTATACAACTGTTTAATTTGTTGTGCTAAATGATAAACAATTAGGTGGAAAATTCTTAGCCCTGTCATTTTATTACTATAATATTTTTAAATTTTATAAACAGATTAAAGGGTGATCTAATAATGCCATACAAATTTAGTTGACAAACATTAGAACAAAAAACAATTAATAAACTTTAAAATTAATATTAATAATAATTAATATTTATTGGTTATAATTACACTGTAACTATACTTAAATTTTACAAATTAAAACAATTAAAAATGTTACTTTCATTAAAAATATAGCTATTATTTGAAAGTGGCAAGTCACTTTGTTTTTAAGCAGAGTTGAAAAATATTGTTGCCATCTTTCTATAAGATTTACTTGTATTTGTTGTCTCAGGGTACTTCAATTTTTATTAGTATAAATAATTTTGTGTAGTCACAAAATTATTTATACTAATAAAAATTAATCAATAACTTGATATTTTTTTGAAAAGGTGACTTATGTCACTTTCAAAACAAACAGCTCAATTTATTTATTATAAACTAAATTAGTTTATTTATTTTAATTAGTGTTAAATTGAAATTAGTATAAAGATTTTCTATTTTTTTAGTTAACTCAAGAAGAAGAAGCAAAAATTGATGCAGAATTAAAAATGCCACTGATAAAACAGTTTGAACATGAAGGGCACCCATACTATTCAAGTGCAAGGCAAGTTGGATTAAAACATTTTCTAATGTTACTTTTGGCACGACTCGTTATTTTTTGAGTTTTTTATGATTAAGCTCCCCCATGTAAAGGCTCTGTTGAAGTTGGTCACATAAATTACTTTCTTGCAGTACTATCAATTTTTAAGTAGGTTTTATAGTAACATAAGTAAATAAATTAAAAATAACAAAATTATGCATGACATCAATAACATAAGTAAATAAAACTAAATAACAGTAATAGTACAATAAGTAATAAATAGTAAAAAATAACAGTTTTGAATAAAAATGCAATGAAAATGCATTTTACTTATGGTGCAAAATTTTTGAAATTATAATTATGCATTAGTTTGTCAAAAAAATTCTTTTTTTTTTTTTGTCTTTGCAGCATTTTTTTTTTTTTTTTTTTTTTTTTTTTTCTTCTGGTTACCCCTAGGAATAACTAAAACTTGTTTGACCTTTATTTAAATTCGTCAAAATACACATCTACTCAACAAATACCTCTATTATTTTTAATTTCAAAAGTTGTTATGATGTATTGAAAAACTTGAAATAGATTTTTTTTTCTCTATGTTCCTTTTGATTAGTTGAAGTAACTTCAATGATTGTTTAGTTTTTAGTGATAAAATTTAAATTGTGTCTTTTAGTTCACTTAGTATGCATGTGTCACTGAGTAGAAATGTGGTCATTATAATTTTCTTATTTTGAACTAATTTTCTTTTTGACTTGATTTAAATTAACTTTTTTAAATTTATTCAAATGTTTTTTAAGCTTAACTATTATTTTAAAGTGATAAAATTGCACAAGTACTTTCCACCACTCTTATAACATTAGTGAATTATTAACAATACTACATTCATATAGTATAAATAGGTATAAATCAATTGCACAGCAGCAAACATGTATTGTGCATATTATAATATTGTATCTCTCTGATGCAAAGTTAAATTTCATTGAATTTTTTGCTTATAGCTAGTACTATAATAAAAATATAAAGTTATATGCATCTGTAGTAGTTAAATACATAGAAAAATACTGTAATATGGTACATCCACATCATGCTATTGTATAATAAGTTAAAGTAATTTATATAAAACAATTTATTTTTTTGTTTTGTGTGTGTTTTTTTTTAATACCTTTTATGTTTTATATCTTTATAAATATCATTTTTAAGTTTATCACTTAAAACGCTGATTAACTAAGCATAACACACTCTACGTGAAAAAATAGTGTAAATAAAAAAAATAGTATCTAAGTAAATAATTATCTAAGTAAATAATTGTAACAGTGCAAAGTGACAAAAATTTAATAAAAACATTTTATTTGTATAGTAACATTTTTACATTTTATTTTTATAGTAACATATTTACAGTAGAAAATTTAAAAATTATAATCATGTAGTATTTCAAATACTTTGAGACCACAAATTATAATTTTTTATAAGAAACCAAAGCTTTAGCTTGAATGTTTCGTAACTTAAAACAGAGTCCTAACAATTAATTTCTTTAGCAGTAGACATAACCATAAATAGCTTATATTTTTTATTGACTGATTTCTTTTTAAAAATGTATTAAATTTTCTTGTCTTCAATAAATATTATATCATCTGGTTTTCGGAACTATTAATAATGGATTAGATTAATTTTGGAACTATTAATAATGGATAATTTAACCTAATCTGTTTAATTTAATTTAATTTTTTTACTTAAATCTGTTTGATTGTTTTTCAAAAATCCCCAAAAATTCTTTGTAAACTTTTGATAGAAGCACTCCTCAAAAGATATATTTTATTAAAATAAAATAAAAAAATGGTCTCCTTTCATTATCTATTACATCTTCCTAAATCTATTAGACTTGAGGTGAAATGCAGTATACATATTCTTATTTTTTTATCTTTAAACATGTACATGTATGCATATATGGTTGCACAATAATCTATAAAAAAAACTACATCACCAAAAAACAAGATGGCTGCTGAACCAAACAGATCCTTTATTCTTTATGAATTTAACATGTGGAATAATTTACCAGCTAATAATAGATTTTGAATTTCATAAAATAATCTCTCAGCGTTCAAAAATTGTGGCCACAAAAAATTTGTAACCCCTTCAAATCGAAAGAAGTTACAAATTTGAATTTGCTCTCATGTGTGGGGCAAGGGTAAAAAATTTTCAGGTTTTTTTTGTTACCAAGCCTTAATAATCACAATTTTTTGCAAAGAATCATTATTTGACATACATATAAACGTATGAGTGTTTAAAGTTTGCTACACGTGTGGAAGTTAGCTCCATGTCTGGAATCTCAAACACCAAAAAATGCTGTATCTGCCCCTGATAATAATAATAATAAAGTGTGGATGCAAGTATTCTGAATATGTTAATAATTCCACACAGGCCTTATTATCTGATAATGTCCTTTTTTAATGTTAATTCATGTTCCTAAGGTCGAAAAGGCCACTACAGACAAGGATACTACTTAATTATGGTTACAATCTTCTCACAACTCTATAACTCAGAAAAACAGACTTTGACAAACAAGGTCGCTACGCAGAAAGAAAAGTTGAGTGCGGAACTTTTTGCTTATGAAAAGAGGTCTCTAATACTACACCACTACCGTATTGTTAATGTTAAAAGTGAGTTGCTACCACCATAGTTGTAAGGTAGAATTGTTATGTATAATCATGTTAATACATGAATATCATGTTAATACATAAATATCATGTTTGGTAAATGGGTAAACATGAATGGTAAATGGGTTGGCAAAAATCCAAGTTTTTTTTAAAAAAAACTGGCCCAGTGGGTTTATTTGGGTTTTTTTGGGTTTTATTTTTGTTTCCTATCTGCAAAAAAAAAAAAAAAAAATTTTTAATGATTTTGAAAATTAGTTTTATTTTCAATTTTATTTAAAATATATTTTATATAATGTTATTTGATAATTTGTAACAAAAAAATTTTCAAACTATTTTGAAAAAGATTTTTAAATATAATTTAAAACTGTTATAGAAAAAAAAAATCTCTTGTTAAATTTATATGTGTTGATTTATTTTAGATTTAAAAGTATTATTTTATATAATTAAAAATGTCAATGAGAAGGAGGAAAAAGAAGACATGAGAACAGAAGAAAGCAACTGAAGTTTTAATTAAACTTCAAATTTGAACTTGAAATTCAAATGAACAAACTTGTCCATGCAGCAACCTTGTTTATAAAGATTCGTGTTCAGGAGTTAAAGAGTTGAAAGAGGGTTAGTAGCCTCCTCTACTGTTGTTACAACAGTAAAGGAGGTTACTACTGTTAGAGTAGCCTCCTCTACTGTTGAGGCCTTATCAGGCCACTACTACTCGTTTTAATTCACTTTGGGGGGTGAATAGCATAAAAGATATAAAAATTTCAATCTATAAAAGTATTTGAATAAAAATTATGATAATGTATTTCCAAATAATGGTTCAAATATTGGTAAATCTGCTCTGAGAGCAGGTTTACCAATGAGCAGGATTACCAAACTGAGAGACAATAGTTAATAATTTAGTTAATGATATAATATAATAATTTAGTTAATGAGTTAGTGATATTGTTAATGTTGTTTATAATAATTCATTAAATTATTAAATATCTTTAAAAAACCTAATAAAACCGACGGGTTTTTTTAATGCCAACCCTGATGGTAAATCCGAACCTTTAAAAACATGTTATTACAAACAATGAAGTGTAAGGGTTGACTCAACATGTTTTGAAACCTTGTTTTTCTCTTTACTTCTTCCAAGACTTAAAACGTTCAGAAGAAATGTCATTTTTGGCGATACTCACGTTTGAACATAGCAGTATTGGATGCATCTTATCATGCCCACTCACACACAAAACATGCTTAACGTGGCATTTTTAATTTTTTTAGTAATTTATTAAAAATATCCAGTAAATTAATTTAAAAAATGATTTATCGAATGTTTTCTAATTTTTTTAGTAATTTATTAAAAATATCCAGTAAATTAATTTAAAAAATGATTTATCGAATGTTTTCTAACTAGATGTTATTAAATATGTAAGAGCTATTGATTCAACATATAAAAGTTCAAGGGTTGTCGGATGAGTTTTCGCGCTTAAGCGCCCCTCCGTGCTGCATGGCATAATATTTGTAATTATAAATTTTTTTTTTGTATAGTTGTAAAAGAGAGTTCGTGCTGGATAGACATAGTTGTTTTATTGAGTTGTTATTTCGTCTTATCCCTTTCTTAAAAACAAATATAGATGAGTTTTTAAATTGGCACCCAATGTAAAAAGAGTACTTTAGCGAAATACAAAGATTTTGCAAAAAGAAACGAAGACAATTGTTAAGATATACATTTGATTGACATAACATGGCAGCCTTAAATAGGAAATTTTCGCAAAGGACAGGTTTACAAAGCGACATAAAAGAAATAAAGAAGTTGAAAATAACTTGTTAAATAATAGTGACGATAATTTTAATGCACTTAGAGGTTTTAGAAATTCATTGAGCAACATTTTACTAGAGCTAAGAGAAGTAGAAGAAGAAATAATTAATTTAAAGGAACCGGATGACATTGCTGAATTCGTCATTCAGCCTAAGAGATTCATACGTCATTCAAATTAACTTCTTGCATAAATCGATTACAAATTAAACTCTCAAAAACTTTCACCTATTTCTCAATCTGGTTATTCACAAAGCATCCAATTGTAAATTACCTAAACTAGAAATACAATCTTTTGACGGAAGCCCTCTTAAGTGGTATGCATTTTAGGACCAATTCAATGCAATTAATAACAATTAATCAAAATGATTCCCTGAGTGAAATAGATAAGTTTTCATATTTTAAAAAAATATTTACATCATGGTCCACTAGCAGCAACTTCAGGATTAACTTTATCAAATGAAAATTATAAAGAAGCAATTGATATTTTAAAACAAAGATATGCAGACCCCCAAGTACAAATAACTGCACATATGGAAACCTTGTTGAAAGTACGGCCTGCGACATCAATGGATAATCTCAAACAAATGAGAAAGCTTTACAGCGCAATTGAGATCTGTATTAGAAATCTTAATTCATTAAAAATAGACATTAGCTCATATGGTTGTCTTTTTATACCTATTCTAAATGAAAGAATACCTGAAGATTTAAAAATCCTTATATCAAGAAAATTTGGTAATAATATTTGGTCATTAGAAAAAACGTTAGAATTTTTTAATCAAGAACTACTAGTTAAAAAAAGATGTCAATGTGTTAATGGACAAAGAGAGCAAAAAAAGAAACTACGTTAGAAACATTTGATTTACAACACAAAGTTTACATACACAAGGTGGCCGAGAATTTAATAAGTGTTTGTATTGTCAAGGTAATCACTCTTCGACTAAATGCAGTGTAGTCACCAATATTGAAGCTTGTGTAGCCACATTAGGGAAACTAGCAAGATGTTTTGTTTGTCTGTGAAGTGGTCATACAAGTAAAAATCGCAGTAGTAATTTTGTAAGTAACAAATGTGGAAAATGTCATCATATTTCAATTTGTAATAAGGACAGTGATCATAATAAATATAAAATTACAAAGAATCAAGAAGCAAAAGAAACCAATGCAACTCATACTTGGTCAAATACTAGTAATACTGTACTTCTCCAAACTGTTACAACCCGAGTTTCAGATTGTCAAAATTTTCTCTCAAAAAAAGTTTGTTTAATATTCGATAGTGGAAGTCAGTTTTCTTACATAACTGAAGAGTTAAGAAATGCTTTAAAACTAAAAACTTAGTGAAAAGAGAAGCTCAATATATTTGGAAACTCAATTGGTCAAGTAAAAGTTTTAGATGTTATACAACTTCAAGTAAAACGCAAAGTTAACAAAGGATGGACTTATTTAGAAGCGTTATGCATCCCAGAGATTTGTACACCCTTAAAAATGCAAAATTTTTCAGAAGCAGTGAATAATTACAAGTATTTAAAACATTCATCATTAGCAGACAATAATTTTGATACCACAATTAAGGTTGATATTTTAGTTGGAATTGACTTTCATTATTGAATGAATGAACATTATTGGCATCTTGTCAGATATAAAACAAGCCTTTTTGAATATCGAAATTGTGCCTGAACATAGAGACTTTCTACGTTTGCTTTGATTCAGCAATTTAAGTCGTGATGATCAATTAGTATTTATCGATTTACTTGTGTAGTGTTTGGTCTTACTTCAAGTCTATTTATTTTAAACGGAACAATGCAGCATCATCTCAATAAGTATTTGTCTTCTTACCTTAAATTTAATAAAAAGATTATACCTGATTGGTGTGTGGATGACTTAGTTAGCAGATGTGATAGTTTAAATGATGGTGTACAATTTTATCATACAGCTAAAGACATTATGTTAAAAGGAGGTTTAGAAATTTGGAAATGGACAGCAAATAATATAAAATTACAAAACCATATTAATAAATGCGAAGGAGTTAATCTTTATATTGATGACAAAGTTTATATAAACACTCGATTAAGTAATAAAACACTATTGGGAGTCAAATGGGACATAAAAAATGATTATTTTGTATTTAAATTTCAATCACTTGTTTGAAAAGTTGTTATCCAAGACAAAATGAAACATTTTACGTTTAGCTGCATCAATTTACGATACTCTTGGGCTAATATCACCAATTACTACTCGTGTTAAAACTATATTTCAAATACTTTGTAAGGATAAACTGGAGTGGGATGAGGAGATTCCTGATAGTAATAAGCTTTTATGGAAGTCCTTTGTATTGCAGCTTTCAAAAATTCATTTTATCTGCTTTCCAAGGTATGTTATAAAAGAAATAAAGGAAGTTATTATATCCATAGAGCTACGTGCCTTTTCGGAAAGTTCAATACAAGCATATGCTTCTGTTATTTGTATTCGTGTTATTTTAAGAACTTCAATAAAAATCTGCTTAATAATCTCGAAAACTAAAAACTTTGTCTATACTGCGATTAGAACTATTAGGTTGTCATTTGTCATCTAAACTCATGAAACAAGTCCAACATTCGATTTGTGATAAAGTTGTAATATCAAAAATTGTAGCATGGTCAGATTCTTTAGTTGCATTGGATAAATGAAAAATCATGTTGTTGGAAGGGAGTTGGTTCTCAAAAATATAATTGATATAAACAGGTATAGCTCTCTACAAAACTTAGTTAGAGTTACCTCATATGTTTTACGTTTTGCCAAAAAAGTTTTGAAGAATAAAAGAAGTACTGATGACAATATATACGAATGATATACTGACAGTTAATGAATATAATTATGGTTTACATCTGTGGGTTAAAGAAATTCAAAAAGACATTCGTAATGACAAAAAGTTTAATAAAATAAAAAGTACATTTAAATTGTTTGAGGACCAATATGGTTTGTTGCGACTAAAAGGACGTTATTGTAATAGTCAAGTTTTAAATTTTGAACAAAAGCATCCAATTATTTTGTTGAGAAACAATTTTTTATGTTATCTTATAATTCAAGATGATCACAAAAGGGTATTCCAACAAGGTGTTGAAAGCACTCTTAATGAAGTAAGAAAACTATTTTGGATTACACAAGGTAGGAAAGCCGTAAAATCTGTGTTACATAAATGCGTAATTTGTAAATTCTTTCAAGGGTGAACACCTACCATAACAATTGAACCTGACCTTCCTGAATTTCTAATACAATCAACTGGGAGCTTTAAATATACGAGACTTGATTATGCTAGTCCATTGTTTATAAAGGAAAACAACGACAAAGCCAATATATTAAAGGTATATGTGTTATTATTAACTTGTGCAACAACTAGAGCTATTCATTTAGAGTTAACAAATGATCTTCAAACTCCTTTATTTCTAAGAGCTTTGCGAAGATTTATATCGAGAAGAGGAAGTCCAGAACTTTTAATAAGCGATAATTCAAAAACCTTTAAAGCTAAAAACCTGTTCGAGAATTTATGTTAAATAGAGGCATCCGAAAACAGTTCATCCTTCCTGCTTCACCTTGGTGGGGTGGTTTTTATGAGCGATTAATACGTTCTGTAAAACTTTGTCTCAAGAAAATCTTACACAAGGAAATAGTTATATACAACGAGTTGTCATCAGTTTTATGTGAAGTCGAGTATGCGATAAGTCGGTGACCGTTAGTTTATGTTAGTGATGATGAACTGAGTGAGTCTTTGACTCCATTTCATTTAATTTTTAGTGCTGACATTTCTCGTAGAGAGAGTATAGTATCTGAAAATGCGCCCATTTATTTATATCCGCAAGACTGTTCCAATCGAACAAAGTACATTTGAAAATTATTTGAAAGTATTTGGAACAGATTTTACAATAGTTATCTGAATGAGCTGAGACAACACAATCTGTACCGGAAAGAACTCTCTGCCTCAAACAACTGTCAATTAGTCGTAGACGATGTAGTGTTGATTAAAGATGAAAATAAAACTCTGCGTGGATTATGGAGGATCGGAAAAGTTGAGAAGTAATTACTGGTCGAGATGGGATTGTGCGAGGAGCTGAGTTAGCAGTTATTTCTAAAGAAAAAAGGTGTACTAAAACTATCAGGCTTTTGCAGAAATTAATTCCACTAGAAGTTAGTAGTGAAGCACAACAGGTCGACGCGTTAACACAAAATAAATTTGAAAATACTGAACAATTTGATAATACTCTTTCTAGGCGAAGAGCAGCAATTGTCGGCCAGGAAACTAGAAGGATCTTAGATCAAATTTATTAAAATAACGTTCTTATATTATTTATTGTTTTGTTACTATATACTGTATTGTTGACTACGATGGTGTAGTCAACAGGGGGAGTGTGTAAAATCTGACACGGATGAGTTTTCGCGCTTAAGCGCTTCTCCGTACCGCATAGCGTAATATTGTAATTATAATTTTTTTTTGTATAGTTGTAAAAGAGAGTTCGTGCTAGATAGACGCGTTTTATATAATTTTTTTATTGAGTTGTTATTTCGTCTTATCCCTTTCTTAAAAACAAATATAGAAGAGTTTTTGAATTAACTTTTAAAAACATGAATAAAAGCTAGTTTGTTTACTTATAAAATCAAGTAGAACATCATTTATTCATTTTCGAAGAATTGAAAAAATAAAATGGTCTGAAAAAGTCATTAAAGTCTACAGCTATATTCCGAGCATTGTGCTATACTTCTATGCAATCATACAAAGTGTTGTTGGAAGAATTTGCATTTCATTTTTGAAAAAAATTGTCGCTAATGTTGGTGATATACATAGTTTTAGTAATATGCAGTAAAATTGTCGAAATAAATTTGTTCTATAAAGCTGTCCTAAGATGTCTAAATTTTCAAAAATGTAGAACTATATTAGGGGTAACACATATACAGTTATTATTAACTATAATAAATAACGAGGTTGGTGAACTTTATAAAAAGTGTTATTTGGTTTAGGGTAAACAGTTTTCAGGAATTTGTACATTCTGTACAAAGTAAAGGCTGTTTTAGTAAAAACTCAGATTAAAACTTTCTTCTTTAATATTCTTATTTAACAGTAGTTTTATTGTGTTATCGTATGTAATAATTGTGCAAGTAACGTTTTTTGCATTTAAGAAAGTTGTAAAAATATGAAAATTGCTTTGTTTCAATGACAAATGTGATTTTTCAAATACATAATACATTAAAGTTACGTCAGAAGGACGGTTGACCTTCAGCGTGTGGATTTAAGGGCTACATTTTTTTTTAATTTTTTTTTAAAAAGATATTTTAAAATCATGTCAAGTTATTTTGTTTCAGATCAATTAATATTTTTTTCGTAATTTAGTTGGTGCTTTGTTTATAAAGTTTTGGTAAAAAAAAAAAATTTACTTAAACTTACTTAAGTCATATTGTATCGTAATTTGAATATTATCAATTTTTTATATATTTAAATTTCTAGTTTCTTTTTGATTTTAAATTTATTGTTTAGGCTTTGGGATGATGGTGTCATTGACCCTGTTGACACAAGGACTGTTCTTGGTTTAAGTATAAGCGCGTCTTTAAACGCTCCTATTTCTCCTACGCGGTTTGGAGTTTTTCGAATGTAATCTCTTCTCTGCATTTGAAAATGAATTGAATGATTTCGTTGGTATCATGATTAATGATTGTCTGGATGCTTTTTTACCGCACTTAATTATGTCATGTTAGATGAGTATTTAACATCATTTTATTTCAGTTGAAAAGTATGATTTCAGCTAGATATAACTTTAATAACATTTTATAGAGTTTAAATAAATGCGCAACATCTTTATAGATCATGTCCAGGGCTCGGCGTTTTTTTTTTTTTAAACATTAAAAAAAAGTAAATTACACAATTGTAAACAGTGGTCGATTATTTAATATATTGCTTTTTGTTTTTGTGTTGTATTTTCTTAGAACTGAATTTTTAAAAGATGCTTAAACCTTTAGCAATTATTTACATAAAGTTAAAAACGCTGCCGTGGTGCATTGTTTAAAATCTGGTTCAAAACCAAAAGATTCGATGTAGAATCTAGTCAGATAAGTGACGTTGCAAGGAAGGAGGTATGAACCTCCTGGTTAAATGCTCTTCTGCGGTGCTCTTTGATAAGACCGTTAGGTCTTATTGGAACACTTAATAAATAATATTTTATGTTGTTTTTTTTGTTTTTTTTTAAATTCAAATAATGTTAAATAAAATTGATTAACAGTTTATACCACCATGAAATTTAGTAATTGGTCGTCCACAAAATTACGTCACGTTATAAGAGGGGGAGAAGGGGTTAGTGATTTTTTTAAAGAGGGAGGTGGTTTGCAATTTTTTAGCGCATTAAGTGTTTAGATTTTTTTTTTGATTAAGGGTTCCCGGTCAAATACAATATTTCAGTCAATGAATGTACACTTGTTGCGCATAAAAAATAAACCTTTTTTATAACTTTTTAATTAAATTAAATTTATTAAACGATTTTAAAATTAAAAATACATTTTTTTTGATAGAAAAATAAAAAATAATAGTTTTATAAAAATTCCTATTTCTGTTCTGAATGAATCCGCGAAGATTATATTAAACAAATCTATTCGTGAAGTTTTAAAATGTATTAATTCATGCTTAAAAAATTGTAGATTTTTAATCTTAAAAACTGCTTTTATAACTTAAACTAATTTTAAATCATTCTGAAAACTTTATTTATTCGGTAATTTTTTTAAATTTGTGTTTTGGGATACTTTTGAATGCCGACGGCTATATCAGTCAATAATGTAGCTGCAGCATACGACTAAGTTCCATGGCGTACTTTATAACAGGCCTATTCACCGTGCGGATGACGTCATAAACTGGAGGCGAGTTTTTTAGAAAATACTAAATAAAAAAATACTCAATAGATTTTTTTTTTTAAATATATCTATAAATAAATTTTTAAAAATTTATTTATAAATTTTTAAAAATTTATTTATAAATTTTTTACAAATTATCATTTATTTTACTAACCATAAAAGCCAAGTTGAATACCTTCACCATCAATCTTCATCATATTATTTTTATTTAAATTTTTTAAAGTAGAAACAGTATTTTATGTTGGATTTTTTTTTTTGAATCTCAGTGTTTAAAAACAATGTTATTTAACACTTAGTTTCAAAAATTTTTTGTTTTGGTTTTTTTTCTGATCTTGGTGAATTCAAACTACAATAGTTTTTAAAGAATATGTTCGAAAGTATAACACCATGTTTTCTATTAATACTCAGTTGATATGATTCTGAAATAAGCATCATTAAATTGCATAAAGAAGAAATGCAGGAGTTATCAGCCACTTTCCAAAACATAATATAACAATATATAACCCATTGACATACAAAATCACCAGTTAATCCTCCACGATTGATTTTGTCAGTAAAATATCTGAATTTCTATTAATAAAAGTCATCTGAGTCTTCATTATTACAGACAACATACCCAGCTATATAAATAAGACTCGTTTTAATATCTATAGATAATATATTTTCTAATTCTGGTAAGTTATCAAATATCAAACATTTCTCTTCGTTCATGTAAAAACCACATCAATGCCCTGATGTAGTAAAATCAAGACTATCACCATTATTGTCTAATTGCAAAAGTAGTTTTGTCTTTATAATACCAACTTTCTCTAAAATTTGTTGTACAGTAATAAAATATGAACCAACTGATCCTTGCCGGAGTTTCCCAAATGTTTTTCTAAAGGATCAGTTGTAAATGTTCGGAAACAAAACATATTTATGATTCGTAGAGAAGAGAAACTTTGACAACTCAACAAGACCATTGCATGTATGATAAAGACTTTTAGAAGTATCTTTTGTGAAATTTTACAACGAACTTTTTGAGAAGAACACATTTGTTTCGCTAAGTTTCCAAATTCTAACAGCTTTTGAAGATTGAAATCACCAGAAGAAAAAATTGCAGCTCGGTTTGGATCACTCATGCGTATATTTGCATAAAAGCTATGAACTTTACCAATTCTCCAAAATTCAATTATTATTGAAAGAAATGAAATAGCATCATCAACATTTTTCAAGTCTGGATGACATTTTAAGGCACAGACAGTTTCTTCACAAAATATTTTTAGACAAGTAGAAACCTTTTGTCTTTCAATTGGTTTGGTGAATACAGCAACATCAGTAACTTTAGACATTTTAACCATTTGATTTGATTCTAATTTATGCAAAGCTACAATGTGAGACCATTTGGCAACTTTTTTTTCCTTATTAACATAAAACTCAAGTTCCTAAGTCTTTTTAGTTATCCAATTATTGCGAATATTTTTTAAAAGGTGTACAAAATCATATAAAAGATAAATGTTATCTTTTGTTCGCCAAGGTACACCATCTCTCTCAAATTTCTTAAAAAAGGCCTAATTTGCCCTGTTACCATCACAAACTATACATACAACATGACCACCTGCTGCTTTTATGGCAGATAGAAAAAAGTTAGTTTGCTCAAAAAAAAAATTTGAATCAATTTCACGTACTGGAAGCATTTTACATTACAATTTGTGACAAAGCATTTACGACCCATGTTTATTAAAAATTTAAATTTTTAACTAAATAAATAAATAACAAGAGCTTCGACGCTTAACAGAAAAAATGGTTTAAAAAATGTTCGCCTACAGTTTTTGACGCCATCCGTACGGTGAATAGGCCTGCTATAAAGTACGCTATGCACAATTTAAAAAAGTTCACACAAACCTCCGCCTTTATATATTCTCTTTAAGATTACTTGTCTGAGTTTACATAATTTTACATGGAACTTTAGGAGTAAAACAACATTATAGCACCATGCTTTCATTATGGTTTTTCTCAAATATGCTTATGAGATCAGGTTCTGTTTAAAATTTTATGCTTTCAATTTTACTCAACAGTTTTCGATAAAGCAAAAAAATTATTTGCATTTTAATTCTTGACAATATTTGGTTGGAATTTTTGATGTCTAACGTTGCCCGGTTAAACATCAAAAATTCAAATTTTCTGCGTGTGTTTAAGATACAAGACAAAAAAAGAAATATCCATTACACGGTGATATAGATTTCACTCTTTGAACTTGGTATGCAGCCGATACAATTAAGCGCAATAGACATGAATAGTTTATTGGTGACTTCTGTCATACAGATTTTGATTATTAAGATCAAAATCTTAAAGTCTATTATGTATATTTTGAACCACAGAAGTACCTGTTTTGCTCTTAATTTATCTTAAAAAATCAGGATAACAAATCTTAAGAAATCAGGATTTATGTAATAGAAACTGGTCTGAATAATATAAACTCATCTAATAGAGCCTGGTATAATAGGTGACTTGACCAGATGCCAAAAAAATTAAAATTTTGATGTCCATGTTTTGACGTCAAAAGAACAAATGCAAAAAGAATCATTACAAAATCAATACAAGGGCGGATCTATTGTTTAAAAACGGTAGTAAATTAGGAAGCTGTTTAAAAATATTACATCCTTAATATTATTATATTAACCCTTATATAAATATATTAAAACCTAATATTAGCCACAATCGTCCTTTGCCATCAGTACATCAAATTAGAAAGATTATCAATTGTTTTGAATGCCATGTTAATTTAAACTATAATTAAGGCGAGTTTCCACTCATCCGTTTTTCAACGGGAACGGAAAAAATAATCACGTGAGCTTGCGTAATAAGAGTTTTTATTTGTCCGAAAGAAAACTGCGCATGCTCACGTGATTATTTTTCCGTTCCATTTCCCTTTCCCGTAAAAAAACGGATGAGTGGAAACTCACCATAAAACGTCTTCGTATAAGTTTAAAATTACAGAGAAATTAACAACACAAGAAACTAATACCAACCAGACGATTTTTTTTGAAGATAGTTGTATTAGCGAGTTTCGTTTTTACTCATTAGGAGTAGGGGGGGACAACACTGCAGTGTAATCCCCCCTGAGTGGGGAGGATTACACTGCAGTGTTGTCCCCCCCCCCCCCACTCAGGGGGGGGGACAACACTGCAGCCCCCCAGTGTTGTTGGCCCTGTAGCGTTACCATCTATACTACTTTCACCGTTAAAACTATTCTTGCCTCATAACTTGAGGGAAGAATAGTTTTATTTTTAAAATCATAACTTTTTTAGTTAGACCAACGTTTGATTAAAACGACAAAATTAGTTGTGTATGATAACTTTATTTATGCTTGTAATACTCCATTTATTAAATATAAAATTTGAGAAAAATTTTATATTTAATGAATGGAGTATTACAAGCATAAATAAATATTTGCAGTCTCGTTGTCGCTATTTTTAATTTTTATACTTGCCGTCAAAGTGAAAAAATTTTAACGATTATAAACATACCTGCGTCAACGGAAATTGATATATTGCGTCAACGGATAAAGATAAGACGTTTAGTACAGTCTTGATATCGTTTTCTTTTGTTTGCAAAACCGAAGCTTGCGAGCTTTACAGTCCCGAAGCGGTTGAAATTTCAGTAGGGGGGTCCAAAATTCTATATTTTTTTGTTTAACCAGTTTTTTGTAATTAATTTTTCCGAAAAGTTCCAAAAGCGATTCGGTTTTTTACACGCAAATAGTACGCGTATTATTTGCGTGTAAAGTTACGCAACTTTATGTTAAAACTTACGCAATTTAAATTTTTATTGAACTAAAATGAACGTTTTAACAAAAAGTAATTCCTATCTACACCTTTTCTGGATCAATTTAAAAGAATTACGAATCAATTTAAAAGAAATACGAATCAATTTAAAAGAAATACGAATCAATTTAAAAGAAATACGAATCAATTTAAAAGAAATACGAATCAATTTAAAAGGAATACGAATCAATTTAAATTAGTATTTCTTTTAAATTGATTCGTATTTCTTTTAAATTGATTCGTATTTCTTTTAAATTGA